ACACTAATAATCCTAACTACTTCAATGACCTCGATATATGACATGAAAGTGTGTCTTGAATCTAACCTTAGTTGTGAATTGTGATCGACGCCGATATTGCGAAGTGGGTCAAACTTTGAAAATTAAAATTCATGAATGCTCCATTTGAAACTTTCAATTTTTCTAAACCCCGGTCGACTTGTCACAATTTCGCAGTCTTAATAACGAAATGGTCATGAATTCCTACCAACTCCATTTTATTTTCTAACTAAAATTAAATAATTAAACACAAAACAATACATGGTGAATTTATATAAGTTTCAAACCTAAAAAACTTTCACTTAATAAAGTGTGGTAGAAAATAATATAAAATTATTTCGAAACTTTACATATTAGTTTAAATTTTTGGATTGAAATAGTTCTTTAAAAGTTACTAACATTACATTACATTGCATTATATTACATTATGATATTCAATGAAAAAAAGTTATTCGTTGGAACATGTAGCCTTGCCCTTAATTCCCGTAAAATATCCCAGTGTCTATCCCGCACAACATATTCATCAAAGGTGATCATATGACCTTTGAACCCACAGAGAAGATTTGGAGGCCTCCAAGCTATATCCCGACTATAAGTACACTTCGGTTGACAATCTCCTTGACATTTGCTTGGTTAATCCTCCTAAGCCCAAATTGGCGACATTCTCATAAATTAATGTGTGTGATCAAAATAAACTTATTAATCAATCTCTCTCGTGGGTTGATGATCTTTTTGGTACGAAAAGGAATACAATTAACTTCATTGTCATTGCATAATATTTGGTTTCTTTTGTTGATTTGTAGGTCAATTATTTGATTTAACAGCAAAATGATATTTACAAGTAATGGATATTTGTCCAAAAGAAAATTGCCTTGAACATATAAATTCGAGACAAAAAAGGAAAAAAGGAAAAGACTACTATCCTATCCTATATATGCCAAAAAAGATTTGGATAGATATGTTGGGCAAAGAGTAAATTATAAATTATTTTGTCTAGTTGTATGAAAAGAATTAAATAATATTTTTGGTTTTAAAAATGAATTATTTATATTTTTATCGATGTTAATTATATTTAATTTAATATTATTTTGTTTTAAAAAATATTTTCTTTTCTCATTAATCTTTTCATATATATATATATATATATATATTACTTATTTTTACTCCTAAATTTTGTGGAAGGGAGGAGAGTGATAAAGATGGTCGAAACAATTTCCATGCATTAATCATGAGTTTCTTTTTTCAAAAGGAAGACAACTTACAAGAGAAGAGCCAACCCTTCCTTCTATTGCCTTAATTTCATATTAAAGGTGATAGAGACCTTTATTTATTTATTTATGAACTTGACTTACCTCTTTATTTTGCCATTTTTGGAGTCATATTGTTTTACCACCGCCCAAAGCCATTCTAGAAATAAACACCGTAATTTTAATTAACAACAAAAAGACAAAGCAACAACTCTTAGAAAGTATATATTATTAGTTATATATGTAGTTAAGCTGCAAATGTTGTAAATTGCTAGGAAACACAAATTCAAAGAAATTATTATGTGGATTTGATAATTTAGAACGTAATATTTTTGTAGACGGTCCGACAAACTCGACTCATACTCGTTAAAAAATAATATTGTTAGAGACTAATATAAATTATATTCTAGGACATCACCTATTAGTTTAAGCTTTTAGGTGATATGGTCTTTTAATATGGTATCGAGCTTGGTTGACCTTGAGGTCCTGAGTTCAAGTCTCACCATCCCCAATTTCTCAAGTATTAAGCACAAGACAATGTAGACTTATGCAAGTTTCATGCCCCAAATGTTGGGCCTTTCACTTGAGGGGTGTGTTACGGACTAGTATAAATTATATTCTAAGACATCACCTATCGACTTAAACTTTTAGGTGAGATGGTCCTTTAATAAATATAAATCATATCTTAGAAATTTATCTAATAGTTTACTTTTTCGTGTTAAAATTATGTTTTGATATGATATCAAAATCTTTATAACCTAATGGTTAAAAGTTCGAATCTCATCACTTTGACTTTCTTTTCCAATTAAAAATATAATAACACAAGATAGTGTGAAATTGTACAAATTTCAAATTTAAAAAGCTTTCACTTGAAGAGATGTGTTAGCAAATAATATAAATTATATCTTATATCTTACTTAATGGTTAAAAAATAATATAATTATATCCTACATCTCACCTAATAAATTAATCTTTTGAGACACAATCCATAACCAAAAAGATCAATTCTTTCTTTTCTTTACTTTAAAAACATCATAATGTCAAGTCTAGTATTATCTATATTAAAAAAGAATAATAAAAAAGAATCTTAATTGGACGTGAGCATGATGCTAAAGTATTTTTCTGTAGCTGCAATAAATTAATCTAAAACTATTCTTAAAACTTATTTAACAATTTAAATTTTTGTGTTAAAATGGTTTTTTAATATGATTTTTTTTCTTAAACTAATTGATTAAAAAAAAGATGAATTTTTTTTTCTAGTAAAGAATGAAAGACTAATTTGAGAACTTAAGCATTTAGCGATGGTTTTGGACCGTCGATAAACCATCGCTAAGTTTAATTGGCAATGTTTTTTTTTATTTAGCAATGGTTTAAACGGTCGATAAATTAATTTTTTTTTTTTTTTTTTAGTGTCCAGAGATAGAAGGTGATAGTTTTTAAGGTTTTAAATTAAGTATTTAGAGATTTTGCTTAATTGATTTTTTTTTTTTTGATAAGATTCTTAATTAAATATTTGATACTACAAACAAATATTATATTATGAAAATGACATGGATTGTGATGTGGAGCTTGCATGGTAAACATCTGAAGGTCAATAAATGAAATAAATATTTTATTATTATTATTGAAATATATTAATATGTTATACATGGTCTGCCAAAGCATTCTTTGTCTCTCTTATTGTAGGTTGTATTAAATGTTTCTTTCACTTGTCCGTTTTCTTTGGTTAATTTGCTTCATGGAACTTGTCATAAAATGATGGAAGCTATGAATTAATGAAGCAATTTTTATTCATCAAAAAGTTCTCCATAAGGCCAAAAGAATTAAAATACAACTTTAACTAATAGATTTCTATTCTAGTTGTAGTGAACTTCTCGTATTTGCAAAGATCACGAGATCCCTTTTATTTTTTTATAGTGGTGGCTATTATAATTACTAACGCTAATTCTCTAATGTCTAATAACTGAGTGGATGGTAGGATCCTATCTATGATAAAATACTAATAATATAACTTTAATATCATTGTATAATAATTAGTGTCTTTATGTTGATTTGTAGGTGTCGTGATTTGGTTTAATATCAAAATTATCTAATTTGTATGGATATTTATTTTGGTTTTTTCGAATTCCAACAAGTAGTTTTTTATAGTAAAAACTAGTTGTGTCATATTTTATTGGGTTTTAAATCAACATAAATTTTAATTTTTAAGAAAAATTGCATGTCCGATCATTTTTATTTTACATATTAACTATGTTTGCAAATTCAAATTTGAAAGTCTTTGGAAAGTCTTGTTAGAGAGAAATTGATACGGTGATGAAGCACTCAAACACTATCTGTCTTTTTCTTTCGGTAGATAAATTCAAAATATCATTGGAATGCCTAAACTAAATCAGACCGTGCCTCCATGACAAACTTAATGACGCTGCATCCAAAACCCAAAACCCAAGAAGTACACTATCCTAATCCAAGATCTCCGGGCCGACAAAGTTGCCCTTGTCCAGATCTAAGAAAATGGTTCCCACAAGGTCCAGTCCAAGCCTGGCCTGTCAGTCCAGCCTAGGCCAATCGGGCTGCAATTTTGCAAATTGCGAGCAGAAACAAATTTAGAGAAATTACTAGTTTTTTATCCATGTTACGCAAACAAAACATATAAAATTATTTTTAATAATTTATTTCAGTTTAATGTCTCATATTATATTATGTGTCTATCAAAATATATCAAATCAAAACTGAATAAAAATTAATTCAATTTTTTAATTTTTTAATCAAAATTTTGTATTTGATCAATTATTCCTTATATTTTGATAAATTTTTTATTAAAAAATATAATTTATTTATTTCTATCTAAAATTTTATTTTGTAAATTTTTTTTCTAAACGTCTTTTTTCTTAAAATTTTTAATTTAAAAAAATCAAAGAAAAAAACGATGACCAAAATGAAACAAAATTGGCTAAAATGTAAAATTTTGAAAAAGTGTTAATAAATTTTGGTTTAGTGGTTTGATTGGTTGTTAGTTTTTGTTTTTGTTTTTTTTTTTTCCTAATAACGTGGATTTGATTAACTAAAATGTAAAATTTGTCTCAGATGATCTGAAGAACTTCTGGCAATATAGTATCCTTGTCATGTGCTTGATTAGCCCAACAAGCCCAAATTAGCAGATAAGTGTGGCCCAAGAGAACACTTGCGTGGTTCGATAGCCTCCTCCTCTTCTTTACAATTTACATGCCTTCATGAGCTGTCCATGCAGCCAACGAACTACATCCCATTTTCTTTCGTTTCATCATTTGGCTTTTCTTTCCCTGGTTTAAAAACCTAACGATGGGAAGTCTTCTGTTCTATCAGTAGTTGGCAAAATAAAGCTTGGCAATGGCCACCTCGGTTGCTATCATACAACAAGAACAAGGATTCATGATACTTCACTAGGCATTCAAGATTTGAGTGGGCTGTTCGGCAAAAGAACATGCTCAAGTTTACGTTTAATTAGTCTGCATTTCACACCTGCACAAGGCACCAATAGATTTTTCGAAGATTTTGAAACTATATGTTAAACTTTGATTCCTTGAAGGATTTATTGTTATCAAATAAGAATATCTACCAACATCTCATGTTTTTAGCTGGCAATATGTACTTGCACCTATTTCAGAAAAGACCACCACCCCAAAGATAAAAACCTGGTAAAAACGATACAAGAACCAAGCTCCAGACTTAACCACTAGATCGCGGTGCATGACCTTCCTATTTACCATCATTGTTGCCACCATACTCAGTTGAATTTCCATTCCAGAAGGTATTTCTATCGCTGGATCGGCCATCATCTTCATCATGTTTCAGTGTGTGAATGTTGCTCCCAGGCCGTGAAGTTGTTGGTTGCCTGCCCCTGCTGTCATTTCTGCCAGTTGCTGACAAGTTTTGATTTGGAGAGTAACTGAAGTAGGGTCTTTCCATTCTTTCAGTGTTGTTATGATGTGCCGAATTTGGCCCTGCGATGTTGAAACCAATGATTAGAAAGCACGCTCCATGAAAGCCCTTTGTGACCAGTTATTTCCATTAATTCACAAAAACCATAAGAGTGTCATATATAGAAAGATGATATTTAACTGGGAAGCAATAGAAGACAAAATGTTCTTTAAACTGAGCAACTTGCCACTCTAGTTTTCCAGCAATTATCAATTGCTTCAACAGAAATTATTTCCATAGATTTCATGCACATGAGAAATGAATACAAAGATTTATCTGTGAAAGCTAATTAAGGAGATGGGCTACTTTTTCAAACTTTGCAAATTCTTAAGAGCTTATCGATTTTATTTCCAAAATGAAACAAGATCCCCAAGAGGAAAGCTTCCACCCTTTCTCTTTCTGCAAAGCATCAAACCCCAGTGCCATTCAAACCCATGTGCCTCTCCATTCCCGTAACGCTCATAATATGAAAAAAATTCATTCTACAGAAATAACATGGAAAAACTGAGGAGCCAATGATAAGATTGTGAACAGGGGACAACTACCAAATTCAGACCACAAAACCAAACATATTCATCATACATTTAGGAATATGTTTTAACAGTTACAGAAAATATGCAATTGTAAAGGTTCCATACGTGAAAAAAATACCAAAAACAAAATTTTATAAGATTGTAGGCGTAATGTCTCAATCAAAAATTAGTCTTTAAAGAGGCCATTTTCATTTCAGATGTTAGGCCCAAAAATGTATAACCAACTCATTGCAAGGTATGGAAACTCACCATATTCCCATATGCCAGATTGAGCTTGTCCAGAACTTGATGAGTTTGCACTACCACCAAAGTAGGAAAGAGGATTGAAATAGGATAGAACCCTTTTGACATATGCAAAATATCCCCCTTCATTTGCGTTTGCTGAACCACCACTAGTTGGTCTGCCCGAGAAAGAACCTCCTCGGTGGTAGCTTGTGGCTCGCTGATGAGGAACCACTATCAATGCTTGCCTATTAAGCAGAGCCAACTCTGATAATGATTTACTCATATCTGCAACAGGTTAAAATTAAAAACAAATTTATAATTGACATGAACTTGATTTAACAGCCCTTTTCTGTGAAGGTATCAACCTAACTTCAGTAGTATTAAGAACATACTTGATACATAAATGCGAAAATAAGAAAAAGAATATTCAGAATGCTTCTTAATGAAATGAAATCAAGAATATGAAATTAAACAACAAAAGAAAAATATCATTACCAACTGACCGAAGCTTTGTGCCACAAAAACAATAAGGTATGGTAGTGTATCTGATGTCCATACCTTGATCACTGAACGTCTTGCGAGGATAAGGAATGGCAAGATCATATGCGCCAATACCGCTTTCTTGGTTTCTGTCCACGTAGTCTCTGACCATTCTCAGAGTGCTTGTCACAGAAAACTTTTGCTGTAAGCTAACACCGTCCGGCAGACGGATATTTAAATGAACATCACTTGATACATTAATTGTTTTATTATTATCCAAAGTCCTGGGCACCACATTATCCGTGGATTCAACCTTTTTGTCTCCTCCTACTTCTTTTATCTCAGTAGTAGTTAATTCCGAGCCTCCTCTGGGAGCACCTGTATGATTACCAATAATCTTTTCTGGGGCAAGAAGACCATCTTCAGCACCAGAAGATGTATGATCAGCTATGGTAATGTCTGAGTTGGTTATCGAAGAACTGGGCAATTTCTTGTCTTCTTCAGTGGGACATGTGGAACGCTCGTCCCCAACAGTCTGCGGCTTCTGAGCATTAAATGATTTTGAAGATGTCTTGACATCCAAATTGTTTATCGTTTCCTGTTCACATGAGTGACAAAACCATCCAACCATTTAATACCATTATTAAACCATAAGAGAACTTCATAAGAGCTATAGCTTAATTACCTCAGCTGTAGGCTCATAACTTTTGTTTTCTTCTATCACCTCAGAAGCAGCCACCTGTGTTCCAACCTCTGAAGATTGGATATGCCTGTCCATCGAAAGTGACGGAACAATCGTACCTGAAGAACTTTCTTGCCCAGAGGAACCAATATCAGAAGACCCAGAAGAAGGTGATTCAGGTTTCTCCGAAACGAGTGCTGCAGTCAGGACAGTTGCTGTTGTTTCCTGCACTTCGACATCAAAAATTTCAATTTGAAAGGAGAATGGGCACAAGTCACAAATAAGTGTAGGGTACTAGAGCATGTAACCCTAAATAGTGGAAGTAGAAAATAAGCAGCTGAACCAATAACCATGAAGATATCTAAACTGGTTAGTTCTCAAGCAATAATCTACTACTTGCAACAAACTTCAGCTCCTTGAGCATTAGTGAATGCTCAAAGTGGAATCGCAGGTATTGAGAGTTGCAACAGAAGAGATAACAAGACTAGGAGAGTTGTAAACTATGCATATAATTAGCAAGATAAACAGGCATTTACATACCTGGATATGAAGGCTCAACCATGCCTTATCTAAATTAGAAGCCAAAACTTCAGCACTAACAAACCCTTCTGCATGATCACAAACAAAAATATAAATCATCAAATTTCCACAACATCATTACACATAACATTAAATGCACATCAAAAGCAAAGATTTCAAATAAAACATCATACCACTTTGCCAAAGTTGAACCCCATTGTAGCCAATAGCTGTTATACAAGGAGCAGATTTCTGCAGATCTGTAATTCAAATTGATACAAGGATATCATCTTCCTTAAAAAATATGACCTTTTCTACAAAAAAAAAAAAAAAAAACGTAGAAAGTTCATATGGAGGATACATATTGCAGAAAAATTCACAGCATCAGTGCTTCCTTCTGCGATATGCAATAAAATGCAGTGCTTCGAGAGCGATTCCTCCACCTAAATGCAGAAAAACAATGTCAGAACCATAATAAGGCATATTATATAGCATTCAGAAAATTACGCAGATGTAGGAAACCTTACTTTGGAATCAGTAAAGGTAGATTTTTCCAATTCAGCAGACTCCGAATTTTCACCTGGAAATCAAAACAAGCCCTTCCACTTCACATCAAAACAATCAACAATCATAATCGAATATGCAACTTCCAGAAAACCATTCCATTAAACCACTATTAGCAATCAACGTTTCAAAATATTACCGGAAAACTATCTGATCGCATGCAATTCAAAACCTTAGTTACAAAATTCTAACTAACTACACCCAACACCAATCAATGTACATAATTACTCTCTTCCGAGTGAGGCTAATTTTACACGAAATTCTTCCCGGAAAAAATATTCATCCATTCAATGAGCCATTAGTTGATTCCACAAATCCAATGGATGAGATTCGGAAAGGTTTTCTGTAAAATTAGCACAATTCCTTAAAAACAGTAAACTAAAACACAAAAAAGAAGAAAAGATTACCTGAAATGTAAACCACAAAAAGTTTCTTTCGTCTTTTGGATTCGAGAATTGCTTCAGGTATTGAACCTTTATATGCCAGTGAAGAAATTGAACTCTCCATCTGTTTCTTTTTTTTAAAAAAAAAACCCTAAATTTCAATCAACAAATTATGATCAAAATGAATATCTAATCATCAATTCAAGCAACTAAAATTGAATATAAATCATAAAGTAATTAATCAATCAGACACTAAAATCGAATAATTGAGATTGTTTTAGCTAATTATTTTCACCTAGGGTTTTGAAACCAGAACCTGTGAGTAGCAATTATTGTACGGGTAGAAAGAAAGAGTGTAGAGGAGTGACAGAGAGATTCGATGGAAATGTTTTGACTTTTCGATTTTTTTTCACTTTAAATAGCTAATGAGCAAATTGTATATGAGTCTCTCTAGTTTTCCAAACAAGTGAAGCAGTTCTTTAATGTTTAAAAACTAATTAATCAGTCCCTATAGTCTTAAATTTATATGTAACTTAATCATTTTTGTTTCTTTTTTTTATTTTATTAAACATGAAAATAAATAATTAGTAAAAAAATATTAATGAATTGATGAAAAAATATATATTTTTTTAAAACAAAATAATATTAAATTAATCATGTCAATACTGGTCAAAGGGCAATTAAGTAATTAAATTTAGAAAGAGGATTATTTAACTTTTATTTTAAAAATAGAGGGACTAATTTATGATGTACTCTAACCAGTAGCATGGAGTTTAGGATTGCCGCGTTAGCACGTGTGAGCTAATAGCATCACATAAAATGGCAGCAGATATCCTGTGGTTCTTGAAATTCGTCAATTTTACCCATGTAATTGAAACTACTGCAATTGACTCCCTGTGTTTCTAGGAACATGTCACATTTACCTTTCCATCCAATTACGACGTTAGAATTATTATTATTATTTTGAATTTGATGGACATGCCGTAATCTAATAAAGTAGGTTTAGGATCAATTTTTTTTTCTTTTTTTTTTACTTTTACGTGATAATTTAAACAAATTGATAGGTATTAAAACTACATTGATCATCGTAATTCTATTTTATCCGAACGAAATCTAAATTGTTTATAAAGTCAATACGTGTTATTAAATTTTAAAAATCAATGAAAAACATTTCAAAATTTATCATTGACTAAATCATATTTTAAATTTTAGTTCTTAATTAATCAAATTGGGAATAATTAACTTGTAAGGTGATTCTTAATAGTCTTGATTAGGCAAGTGTAGATGATTTTGGACCATCCAAAATTAGGCGAAGTGAATCTATTGGTATGCCCATTCAACTCATAGATGAAGGTTCCCATTCTTCATTGATGGACATCAAAATAAAAGAAGTAATAAATGGAAAGAGAAAGAGGAGGAAAAAAGAGAAGGGGTTATAGTTTTAACAAAATTAACCGTGACATTTTTGAAACCCATATAAATCATGTACACCATAATTTACGAGAGTAAATTATAAATTAGTCGTTTTAGTTTATAAAAAAGAATTAATTAGTCTCTTTTTTTAAAAACTAATTATTTAGTTCTTATATTTTTTAAATTTTCTTGTAACTTAATTTAATGTTTTCACTCTTTTTTAATTTATTTTTAAGAAATTAAAAAATTTGAAACAATATAGAAAAATTAATGAGAAAATATGGTATTTTATGAAATAAAATAAGATTAACTTAAACATAGTCAAAATTCATCAAAGAACTAAATAACTAGTTTTTAAAATAAAAAGACTAATTAATTCATTTCTCAAAAATAAAGGGACTAATTTATAATTTGCTCTACTTTCTGATCCTCGAAGCCTGCTTGGGAAAAAAAATATATAAGAATTGATCTGCCACAGAAAACCAATGCTTAGAGAGGGGCAAAACCAAAAGGAACCCCTTTGACACAGAGTTTCAGTAAATAGTAAACACCATTTGTCAATGAGAACAAGAGGATCCCTAGAAAGCAAACAATGTCAATATGACCAGTTATGTATTGCACTACCAGTCCCATGGTCAATTTATCACTTGAAAAAATCATCAGAGCCTGGTGCAACTACCAAAGAGCAAAAATGGCAGCAAAGCATCAGGGGCACCAATAGTTACAGTGCAATCCTAACCTACACATCCGAACTCATCATAAGAAAAATTAGAAAATGTCTAGTGTTGACTGACAAAACGGCACGCAATGAAACCAACAGTGCGTTGCAGAAATTCCGGTGCAGGAAACTGGGTTGGGTTTAGGAGCAGCACCAGCTGCCTCCAGAAGTGCTTGTAGTGCCTTGCAACAACGAACATATTCGACTGGAATTCAGCTTCACAATGCACATATAATGCTGAAAAGCTACCAACTGCAAAATGGAAAAAGGAAACATTATCAGCAGCTAACACGTTCTTACACATGCACATTCCTGTGCATGTGGTCAGATTGGGAGCTGAAAAGGGAGAAAAACTATTGCATCTCAGAGCATAATAAAGTGCGCATATCCGATTTTTGACCATATTCGTGGAAAAAAGAGAGGATACCTTGCCAACTCCCATAGGGGGATATTCTCCCTTCAGATTTGGGTCTATGCATTACTTAACCATGTCTTCCACACTCCGTCTTGGGGTAGCCTGACAAAAGCAAATCTATGTTGATCTTCTCAAACATAAAAGGAAAAAAAATAAAAAATAGAATGATAAACATTAGAGAAATGATAATATTGCAACAACCAAGGCAGAGAACTCACCCATGTAACAAGTCTATGCTGTCCATGTGGCATGGTATGATCACCAGCTTTCCTCCCAGTGGGAAGCTCTAGGAGAATCAGTCCAAAGCTGTAAAAACAATCACTCTTCTGTCAATTATCTAGTGATTGCATACTGCAACATCAGGTATACAAGCAGAAAATCATACGCATCACTCCACAACCACTTTATTTAGAATTAGAAAACAAGATATAAAGAACCCATTCAGATGGAATAGAAATTATTCTGTTACAGCATATTTATCCTAATACATTAACAATTATCTAAGAGTACGAGACAAGAAAAGGTATGGTCACAGAGTTAAAAACATCTTAACGTGATAGATTGTGAAGAGAAGGATTCCTCCCCTTGTAAAAGTGGGAGGAACTAGAGCTGGAGCTAAATTTCTTAGTATCACCTTAGCAAAATGCCAGCCTTGTTTGATACCCCTCTTCATTGGAGATCTTTGCCAAAATGAATTTAAGTGTCAGAAATAACCCAGAGATCATACTGTTTGTAATTAAGATGTGATAACAGCGTTTGAAACTTCCATCTTTGGTCAATGAAAAGACGTCCTTTGCTTCCAGAAAGAATATGACACAATCAGGAAAGAACAAGAATACAGCTTGAAGTAATATTTTATAATAGCTTGAAGTAATATTTTATAATGAATCTTGAAGTAATATGAAGTCAAATTGAAAGAAAAGTCAAAGGGCTCTTGTATATTCCACGAGCAATGCTTCATATACTGACAAAAATCTACAAATGCAAGGGACTATACCATCATCACGTGTTATGATTTATTCAGCATGTGATTAGGCAAAGAAGGTGACAGCAATCAAGAAAATTGAAAAATAAATAAATAAAATAAAGGACAGAGAAAAATGATGTAAGATAATGCGTTGTTGTGAAGAGATTCTTACATTAGGTGTTATTGTTCTGTGATGAGCTTCTTGGAATGAGATACCCACAGGTGAGCTGATAAGCCAACAATGATGCAGGATATGTATCACTGCGTCTTTTGAGTTGGAACTCCAAATTTTCTTGATTATTTACTGAATCATCCAATAAGTAAAATCCACCACGATATTACTTCATCTTGAATTGAAAGCACAAGAAATCAGGAAAGGTGCATAGCTTATTATATTCCACCTTTCCATTTCGTGATTCTACTCCATTTTTTATAGTCTAATCTAATCTCCCCCTGTTTGATGGCATGGCTTGCCGAGTAAATTTTCTATTTCTGAGCATGACCTTGATATTCCTTTTCCCACCAAGCTCACCCTTCCTCTGCATCTTTTCCTTCTTTTCTTTCCCACCCTCTATAAATGCTTGGATAGCTTTATCTCTTCTGTCATCTGATAGTAAAGCAAACTTAGCAAATTTCTTTGGTCTCACAAATCCTAGCTTCTCATTTATCTCCTTAAATGCAGGAACAAGACCGCTCCTTATGAAGCATCCTTCTATTAGCTGCATTGAGTTTGATTCTGGGAGAGATGGGGCATTTTTTAACTCGAGGTCCAGGCAGAAAGGAGAGTCCTTTAGCCACATTCTGAGGGAGTGGGCCTTGGCTATAAGGAGGCCACTCCGAGCTTTACAAGGAAGAAATGGGGAGCCCATCTCCCAAAGGCATGCCTTCAGTGTGCTGTCAAGGGAAACCATGTTGTATTCAGCTGTCCCAGTTATCAGAACAACTGATTTTGGAGATTCTGGACATCCCTGCAAGGATGCGTCCTGCCACATTCAAAGTATTATATTTTAGATACTTTGTAGAACCAAAAGGTCCTTTTTTGTCATTATTCTCCTTTTGGATGGTGACATTAAGCATTCTCATAGGAGACATGGATACTAGCCATATGTCAGATTTATCAGCATGCTTGCACATCGACTTGCACAAATACTTTTTACCTGAAAACTAAAGGGATACATACACACATGCATGTGTGCTCATAAAAATATTAATGTATTTGCATGTGTTTGTGCTGGGAAGTATATCTGAAGTTCAATGACAGCGAGTTTATCCCATGCATGCACGGAGAAGAAATTTCAGACTGGCAATTTACATCTTCAACTCATGTAAAAAAAGATCAATAAAAATTATACAATTCACATATAAAGATAATAGTCACAAGTGCATGAGAGATCTTGCCTGCATGTGGTCAAGCCATAAAGTAAGACCAACAAGAGCTGCGCCACCTGACAACTTTCTAAAATCGGCTCCCCAGTCCTTGTCAGCTACCCTGAATTACAAAGACCACAAGATATAAATTTATCCAGGTGCATCACAATTATTTTAAGAGAAAAAACTATCAGATCCTTGTTTTATATATATATCAGCTTTTACCTGAATACATCATGACGATATATTCTCCTCTTGATGGCCAACTGAAAAACCCATGATGCAGTGGCTCGAAGTTCAAATGCCCACAACAAATCCTCTAATGCATTGACAAAGTTAAAGGCAGCATTGTCTTCCAAGGTTTCTAGCATCTCAAGGCACTGGTCCAGTGCTGAAACCAATGGTCCAGGCTTTTCAGTTAGAAGCCTGTAAAAGAAAAATGACTCAGAAAAACTGCTATGAAAAAATAGTGCAATACTAAAAAAAAAAAAATTATCTTGTGCATGGTAGCCATAGAAACAGTTGTAGCTAATCACCACCTGATTGGAAGATCAAATCCAGCATCTCGGAGAGCATTTAAAAGGACAATGGCCTCGCTTGTGCGCTGGGACAAACTTGCAGCCCTAATAAAGCATGTCCATATTCTGTGATCTGGTTCCAGGCCCTCTTTCTTCATCTGTACCAATTTCTGAATTCCGACATTGTAATCTCCATTTCTGAGATAAGCATCAATAACAGAACTATAGGGCAGCGTACTGAGATTTGAACCTGTTTCTTTCAAATTAGAAAGAACCTTTTCAGCCTCCTGAGGCTGTCCAGAGCTGCCATAGGAGACCATAAGTAAATGCATTGTGGCAATACTGGGTTCCACTCCTGCATCTTTCATCATGCTAAATAGTTTTTCAGCTTTAGCATGACTTCCAGAATTTCTATATATTTTCATCATTATATGATAAAAAGAGCGATCTAATTTACAGCCCTTTGACTGTAACTCCTCAAAAAGTTCCTCTGCTTGCTCCACCAACTGCTGCTTGCCAAATGATGCAACTAAGCTTTTGTAGGTATCCAATTTAGGCTCCAATCCGACCGCTCTCATTTCATGCATCAGTGATAAACCTTCCTCTGGTCTATGATCTCTGCAATACATCACAATTAATGAGTTGTAAGTGTCCTCATCTGGCTCCAGCCCATCCTCCTTGATCTTCTGGTAAACTTGAGTTGTCTTTCTAAAATCTTCAATAGTTACATACATCTTCAGCACAGAATTCCATATCAAAATATCAGGCTTGAATCCTGCTTCTCCCATCTCAGAAAGCATGGCTTCAACATCTCTTACCTGTTTTCCCCTGCATAACAGCCGAGCCATTACCCTGTAAAGATGCATGGTAGGAAAATAACCAGCAGCCTTCATTCCATGGTATATTTTCTTCACTTCAAATATGTTCCCAACCCTTGCAAATGCATCAAGCATTAAAAGAATAGAACTTTTGCTTATTTTAAAACCCATATCTTGCAACTCCTGGACTACCACATAAAGCTCGTTCAATCTTCCATCAACAATCAGAGCTTGCAAAAGACCATTAATGGAATCTACAGTTGGAGAAGGGCCATCTCTCATCATCGTATTAAAAACAGCCCTGGCTCGCTCATAACAGCCACTTGCAGCATAAGCTTCTATTAAAGCATTCCAGACTTTACGGTCCACAGTCATGCACCTTTGTCTCAAGTTCCCCGCAACACTCTCTGCTTTCTGCCACAGCTTCAATCTTCCATATGCCTCAATCACAATGACATGAAGGGATATATTATTCAATACCATGCCATCTGTTTCTGCAAAATGAATTAGATGATGGGCTGTTTCAGGGAACCCCATTTTACAATACAGAAGCACCATGCTTTGATAGAGACATTCAGATGCTTTGACACCACAGAACCTCATGTCAGAAAAAACCTGAGAAGCTTCAGTAATGAGTTCATTTTCTAAACAGCATTGAATCAAGGATTCAAACATGGTAAAACTCCCTGTAAAATCAAGTTCTCTATTATTACTGTATTCCTTTAAAGCAGCATCTAACTGCTGAGCCTTGCAAAGCATAACAACCAAAGCTTCAGTAATCATTTGACTGGACCTGGGAGCATGTTCTTTCAAGAATTCAAGCAAGTCAAGTGCCTCAGAGTGCCTTCCAGATGAACTATATGAACTCAAAATAGACAGCAAATTCTCACGGTCAATTTCAAAGTGATCACTTATTGCCCGTCTCAGCATTTTTGCAGCTTCATCAAAGCAATTTCCCTTGACTAGAACAGAAGACATAGCTTGTGGGTTCATGCCACATATTTCTTCCATATCTCTGACAACTCTTCGAATATCTTCAAATTGGTTTACCTTCCTAAGAGTTCGGAGCATCAACTCATAAAGGGAATGATCTGGTGTGATACCATCATGAACCATTTCCTTGTACAAGGTCATTGCCCTCTTTGGCTCATTAAATCTTAGATGGATGTCCAGCATAACCGAGTATGCTAGTTGGTCAGGTCTGATTCCAGACCTGAGCATGCAATCAAAAGTCTCTTCAGCCTCCACTGGTTTCCCAGCCTTGGCATACCCACAAATCAAAGCACTATATGTCCTCAAGGTAGGTTTAACTCCTGTATTCAACATCTCTGACATCACAATAGCAGCCTCTCCTATTTTGTTTGTCTTCCCAAGCGAATCAATTAAAACAGTATATGTAACTGCATCGGGATTCCTGCCCGATGACTTCATGTCCCTGTAAAGTTGTAGTGCTAGATCATTCTGACCTTGCTTCCCATACATGTGGATCATAGTGTTATACGTCATCTCATCTTTGCCGAACCCTTGTTTCACCATTTCCACCCAAATCTCTTTCACTTTCTCCACATTTCCTTCTCGTGCAAAAGCATACAACAATGAGTTATAACTCACAGCATCTGGAAAAAACCCTCTTGACTCCAAGTCATTAAAAAGCTGCTCTGCTTTGCCAGACAGTCCACATTTTCCATAAACTGAAATCATGGCATTATAAGTCCAAAGGTCAGGTTGGCAATAATGCGCCTCCATATCATCATAAACCTTAACAGCCTCCTCCAAATTTGATGCGCGTGAACAAGCACTGATAAGAGTATTATACGTAATTATATCTGGTCTAAGCCCTGATCTTCTCACTTCATTTAGAAGCTCAATAGCCAAATTCGGTGTCATTTCACCTGCTTTCAATCGAGCATTTATCAATGTATTGAAACTAACAAGGTCTGGCTCACACCCTCTTTCACGCATCAAATCAAGTAGCTCTTGGACCTTATTAAACCTACCACTC